ATATATATATATATATATATATATATATATATATATATATATATATATATATATCCCTATTCTAATAAATGAATAGTTTTAATCTCCTTTTGACAAGTGTCACTCTAATACAACTCATCATTAATATTATGGCATGTGTCATGTAGATATATTAGGCAGCTCATTTCAAAATTCAAATTTACATTTTCTAATTATATGTTAAATTTGAAGTTATAATAACTTTAAAATTTTGATATATCTCTTAATTAATAATTTATTTAAAATGACTTGTTTAAAATAATTGATTAATAATTATAAATTTTTATTATAAAAGTTTAATTAATTTTATAACTGTGGTTCGCACGGGTTATAAACTAGTATTTTTTTATAAAAATAAGTTTTTAACCTGAAAATACATAAAAAAAAAAAAAAAAAAAAGCATGTGACATGAATAATTTCTGAAGTTAATATGTATTGTTGATATGTATCTTGGTTTTATTTTCGTTGATTATTTTAATGATCGCATCGACTTATTCTTACTTCTTTGCCTCATGAAAAACAAACATCACAAAACTCATAATGTTTGTTTTTTCTAAATGTCTTACTTGATCGAAACAAATTTTACATTTTAAGTTTAAAAGGATCGGTTCTTTTTATATTAGTTCATAATTTAAATTTTTACCTTTATTATTTATATAATTTGCACTAAATTTATTAAATAAAATTCAGATACTTCAACGACCTACCAACATGTTTTTAGTCTAACGTGAGATAATCTTTCTTTGAGGATGAAAAGTTCAAGTTCGTATAAGACATAGGATTTAAGAAATAATTTTAGAAGTAGTCAGCTTTAAAAATAAATAAATAAATAAATACTTTAACAACCTAATTGACTGAAATATCTTTTATTAATTTTAAATAATTCGTATTTTACTTCTTTATATCAATACGTGACTTCAGTTCTTTATATCAATACGTGACGCTTGAGTCTTGACAATCACTTCAGTGGTAGCCAAAATAATTCTTATCTTGACAGGAGACCCACATTCAAAACCATGAATTAATGCTCTTTTTTGAATTGGTCATTTTATCTTTTTTGAAATTGATAGCAATTGTTAATGATTCATAATTATAATTTTTGTTAGACTCAAAATATTGACACCACCTCAACGCCATCCTTATCCAACGTTTATATACTCTTATTGGAAACAGTCAAAGTGATGATTTTTATTTCGCATAATACTTCTTTTTAGATGGTGAAAACCTGAATTTTTCCAGATGCTTTTTTTTAATAATAATAATTAAAAAAAAAAAACATTTTTCTATTAGTGCACATTTTTTTTTTTGAAAAAAAAAAATACTATCAAATGATTCTAATAATTATTTTGGTACTTATTATATTTGTTGTCTTTAATAGATAGTTAGTTACTCATGTTCAATAAACAATCTTATGCACACAAAAATCATATATTATATGAAAACCAATCAAATGACGAAAATCCATACACTACAATACAGACCAAAAAGAAATAAACAACAGGAGTCTAATTCACTCTCTTTTTATACTTTAACTACCCCCATCTCTTCCCTAACTATATGTATACTGGGGGGCATAAATGTAATTATCAGCTATATGCCGATGTATACTCACACTCTCAAACACACACAAAAAAAAATGTTCTGTACAGAATTCGACGTATTTCAAGCCAAATCCTTGTGATGGGAATATCAAATACCAGAATCTGAATTCCCCCAAAAACCAAACACACTAAAAAAACAAGATGCAATAAAACACTGGAATCACTGATTCCATAGAATCTAGAAAGGTTTTGGTTTAAAGGCAATGGAGTAGGGCTCTTTTGCAAGGTGGAGACTGTGAGGTTCTGGAGGTGGGATTCGGAATTGCTGATTCCATTCCAAGTGTTTTGAGCAGGAAGTTCCTTTCCTGTAAAATAATAAAATAAAGGTCAGATTATTGCTTCTAAATGACATCAATAATAACAAAAAAAATAATAAATAAATAAAATTACGCTTTCTGAAAACTGTGGGCTTGGAATTCCTTCTGCCATTGATCTAAACAATGGAGTCACTTGGAGTGGAGAATTGAACTCTGAATTTGGCAAGGGGCATTTTCGTCCATCACATAAATCATTTGCTTTCTCAATTGTTTTAGATGAAATAGTTTCGGGGGATCCTTGATTTAATTCAATGAGAGATTTTCCTTCAACTGTATTTCCACTAGATTCTTTTTATCAACCAAAAAGAACTTATTAGCATTCATCAATAAAAATTTCATGTACATTTCCATTTTATTATTTAAAAAAAAAAAAAAAAAAAAAAAAAAAGAATCCAAGAATTTTACCTTCTATACAGGGTTTCATACATATTACCACAAATGGAGGTCTTACTTTCTGCTCTTTAGTATTACAACAATCTTCCATTGTAGCAACAATTTGTTTCCTCCTATTCAAATTTAAAATTTTAATCTTGTTTCATATACATGTGATCAAAACTATATAATATATGTAACATACCTTATATTCATATGTTGCATTGAAGTTTCCAAAACTTTATCTGTATTTTGTCTTGTTCTTTTGTTATTGGTATTCATGTTAACTCCATTGTTGTTCTCTTTAGTTGATGAGTCACACTTTGCTTTCTTCTTAGATAAGATAGAGAACCGATTCTTCACAGCATTGTCTGTCCTGTTTAGAGTGACATTTATTTAAAAATTGTTATAAAAAAAGTGTAAACTTATAATTAAGTTCTTAATGAAAATATGACAATTGAATAGAACATTTTATTTTATCTACCTTCCTGGAACCACTTTTGCAATCTCAGTCCATCTGTTGCCAAAAATCTTTTGGGCCTATAAATAAAGTGATTAAGTCAGTAGGGTTATTACATAATCCACTTTTTCAGAGTACAGAGTTATAGTGGGATGTAAATATGATGCTTTGATTATGTTCATTGGGTCCCAATAGTAATAAAGTACACATTCATGACTTGAAGTAGAATAAAAAAAGAGTCTTGTAAAAGTAGAAGTTTACTTGGCATAAGAGCATATCTTCCTCATGTGACCATCCTCCTTTTTTGAAATCAGAATTTAAATAAGTAAACCATCTGCATTACAGGTTTTACATCATTATCCAAGATTAGTAATTCCATAACAGAAAAGAGTATGATAATTGATAAAAGTGATAAAAGCTTGTAGTTTAGTTTACCTTCTTCTGCATTGCCTTGTAGTTTTGTTCGCAAACTTGGATGAAATAATTGCCCAACTGCAGATATGATATAACATCTGTAAATCATTATTGGTTCCAAAACATTTGAAATGGGAAAACTGAAAAGTGAAACCCTAATTGATTATTTGAAGTAAAGGAAATCATACTTATTGGTTCCATGAATACGAATTTGTTCCCTTAATATATCATCATCCTGAAGCAGAAATAAGTGATAAGCCACAATATGAGTAAAAAGTATAAAGGCTTAATCAGGGAGATGAAAGTATGAAACTGAACCTCTTCAGACCATGAAACTATGTGCCTCTCTTTCTGCTTCGGATCATCTTTATCACTGTTACTACAACCACAAGCTTTCTTCTTCATATTCTGCAGTTATGAGTATCAGTACCTCTATCTCCTTTATCCAGAAGATCCACTTCTCGCATGCTAAAGTGAGACTCTATTGAGGCTTTATGTGTGGGTGTAATTTGAGTTAAATAAAAAGGGGCCAAAAGGAACTCTAAATGTCCCTTTTTAAGGGGGGAAACTTTACAGGTTGCTGTTTACTTCAAAAGGACCACCATACCACACGCACTTTTAGGTTGAATCGTATATCAATCACCTTTGATGATCTGAAAAACATGCAAACGGAATTGAACATTAAAATCAGAAAGTTGAAATTCTACGATTGACGATACGATCAAATGAAAAATTCAACGATTTCTATGAAGAGTCCAATCAAATTACGAATAGAACGTAATCAAACTACATAAATTTGGGAGCAATGATTAACACTAAAAGGAATATTACCTTTTGGTAGGGCATATCACGAGAATCGAGACCGATGAATATCCGTGAACCGACTAGTGGTGTTATGAACAACTACTTTGAGCTAACTGTGTAGCTTTTGTTATTCTCGAATAGCTTTATCTGTAGGCATACGATTGAAAGAGAGGGAGAATCGGTTTCCGTAAAAAATTACGACGTTATCCACCACCACAGCCGCACACACACTGCCGTAAATATCTGTGTGATTTTGTAACCAGGTTTGATAGAAGTTCAAGCCTCAGATACAAACCTCTTCAATGCTTTCTTTCATTCTTTCTTCAGAGCTCCGTCGTGGTTGTTTGGTCGCGACGGCGGTGGTGCACCTGGTGGTGGTGGTGTGCGACTGTGCGGTCAATGGTCAAGCATGTGGAGCAGTGACTTCTCTATAAACGTGTATTTTTAAATATTTTATACCGTTTAGTATCTTTATTATTTTTCAAAGACCCACTTTTTCAAAATTTCAAAACAAATCTTTCATATTTGGAAATTTTTTTATTGCATTTATTTGCCATTTGTTTGTGTTCAAACTTCAACGTAATATAGTTATGTTACAAAAACATTGATCGATGTGTTTTTAAAAATAATTATATCACAATCAACAAAAAATATTTGTTTCATACAAAATAGATATAAAAAATTAATCCCTATTTAAAGCTCCCCGTGGAGTGATTAAGTCCCTTGAGAATATCCGAAGAAACTTTCTCTAGAGATGGTACGAAGACAAAAAAAAATAATAATAATAAAATAAAATACTACTAATAATAATAATAATAAATCAAATGGGTCTCATGAATAAGGTTATAGCTCCTAAAAAGAAAGGCGGCTAGGTGTTGGTTCACTGCAATCACTTAATCTAAGCCTTACTAGTAAAATGGTGGTGGAGGTGTAAGCTTGATAATATGTCCTTATGGGCTAAGTGATCACAACCATTCAAAATTTCAAGGACAAACCGGTAGACTACTTATCACAAAAGACTACGGGGTTGTTTGGTAGCATCTGGATTATTCATATCTAGATGATACACATGTCTGGATGATGTAGAGGTTATGTATGAATCTGTATCTGCATGATAATTTGATGTTTGGTCAGACATCTGAATGTCTGTCTCTTAATGGTGAAAATTACCATTTTAACCTTCTGAATTATTTGTTATTGTTTGGTTGGACTGAACGACTGTGCTGAATGATACTGAATTTGTAAATAATTATAAATAAAATACAAAACTTCTTATAAAATCCAAATTAAACATAAAACAAAACACAAATTAAAATTCATACAACATCCAAATTAAACATCATACAACATCCAAATTAAACATAATCCTGAGCATACAACTTTAAAGTAATTGATTAACAATCTGGTTACGCAAATTAGTCATATATTTATTGTCTTAGTTACCCCATTGAATGTCGTGTACGCTTTGTTCATCACTTCCTCACATACTTCAACAGTAAACATAGTCTCCTCTTCAAAGTCCATAAATAAATGATCACGAATATTATATTTCCTTATAAAATTATGGACTACAAAACAAGTAAGCATTATGTCTCTTTGTATTGGAAAAGGATAAGGAGTCATTTCCTTTAGGATTGGAAATCTCGCCTTCAAAACTCCATAAGCGCGCTCAATAACATTTATGAGTTGTGCGTGAGCATGGTTGAATTTTTCCTTTTGGTTAATGCAAGTTGTCTTCAGAAATCGGATAACCAGTACCTCGTATTGCGGTAGGGAGCCATAAATCCATGAGTGTTGGTGTATGCGGCATCACAAAGGTAATATTTGTCTATAAATGTGACTTTTGCAATTGTTATATGAAAAATAGATAATGTATTTAATATTCAAAGTTAAAAAAATATTGCAAACCTGGTGGAGGAAATGGAAAGCCGGAAGTTGGATTAAATACAACTTCTTTTAGAACTCGTGAATCATGTGTTATGCCCTCCCAACCGGCTAATACAAACGTGAATATCATATCAAAATTACAAATTCTAATAACATTTTGATAGCATTCACCTTTTCATATTTCCCTATAACGAGTTTATGATATATTACTTCTAATCAAAAATCACAATACCTTAATCTCTAGTTGCCATTCGTCTTCTTTCATGTTAAACATGTTAGTTATAGGGTTATAAACGTTGCCTATTTTGTTTTTTAATTTTAACCAAGCACCAAACTTTGCTTTTAGATAGTCGTATCGATTTTTCATCTGCTTTTGATCAACTACAAAACTGTATTCTGTTTTCAATTTTTCAGCTACATTCTTCCATGAGCTTGCTTTCAAACTACTCCCTTCACGTCCGTAAGTTGTAATTTCATGAATACAACCTTCAAGAAATGTTTTTTCAACACATTCTATTTGTTTCCAATTAATTCTAGGCCTTTTGTGCCATTTGTGCCATGTCTATTATTCAAAATTCAGCAAGAACATATTTCAACAACAAAATCTAGCAACATAACAGGAAAAATCAAGCAAAATCATAGCAGCAACTCAGCAAGAACACATATTTTCGGACTTTTAATTACATATAAACAACAAATCAGCAAGAACAAAGCAAAACCACAGCAATATGCTTAAAACTCAATTAGATTTCACACAAATCGTTCACCCAAAAACAAATTGATCAGCCAACATAGCAAGACAGCAAGAACATAACAATAACACAACACATCATTGATTTCATTTCTAGAAACAGATTTAAGAGAGAAAAACTCTTTAAAAATCGCCCCAGTGAACAAATTGGAAGAACGTACCAGCGAAGGGGGGGAGGCGGCGAGGAGGGAGGCGAACTGGCGCTGTAGGATGACCTGAAATCGGTGGATGCAAGTGAGGAGGCGAGTGTTCGTTGTTCGCTGAAGTAGAAGAGGGAAGAAAAAAAAGAGGCGGACGATGATATCTGTTTTTAGGGCGAGGGCATCAAAGGAAAAACTTTCATCCAGAGTCTTTATGATATCTGACCGAATAAGACATTTTTTTAATATATGGTTGATTAAGAGGCTAAAATAGTTTCAACCAAACACTCTGAATCTGAATGATCCAGAGCCATCCTCTTTATAGGATCATTAAGAGGCCAAACAAACAGCCCCTATATCAGGTGTTTGGAACAATAGTGTAGGGGTAAAATCGGAATTAGAGAGCATTGGTCTGCAATTCAAAGACATCATAATGAAGACAGTCAATTCAGGTATGTCGACATTATTTTGGCAGGATGAAATGGGTTGAGGGAGGTAAATTAAAAGACCGGTTTCGAAGACTATATTCGATTGAAGGGAAAAAAGATGTATAGTGGCTGAAAGAATTAAGTTGTATGAGTTTGAATGGGACTTGAGTTGTGATGTAAATGGAGTTGGTATGTCATAGGAGCTAGCCAATATCATGGTTGTTGGATTGTTCACCCCAAGCACTGCTTGTGATGAGTGGAGGTGCGTGTTGGACTCTAGTGACAATTTTACAACTAGTGCAGTGTGATCTAAATTGGTAGAATTCAATTATGTCTTCCTTCACAATCGCATTGAGTGGCTTAAGTTAGCTCCGCCTAAAGTCTTAACTTTTATATGGAGAGATAATATGGGCAGGATCCCTTCCTCTTTGGCCTTAAGTCCGCGTGGTGTGAACGTAGTCTCACTATCCTGTGGATACTGCAATGGTGAAAATGAGTGTGCTGATCATAATTTGGCTAGATGCAGCTTCGTGAACATCACAAAGGAATTGATTTTCAAGTGGTGTGGAATTAGGAATCTAGTATTCAATACTATAGGTGAATTGCTCAAATTTACTTCTACATGGGGGAGCTGTCCAAAGAGAAGGAAATTGTTAACCTTGATCTGTTATGGAATGTTATGGATGGACTGGAAAGCAAGAAACGATCGGGTGTTTCAGTAACACACTACAACACCTACACTGATGGCAGATAACATCAAGTCTTTGGTATTTGTATGGCTAAAACAAATGGGTGAAAAAAAAAGAAATTAAATGGATGGAGTGGAATGTTTCCCCCTTTTTATGCTTGTAATCGGTTTTCCCTTTGTTCTTTTTGTATTGTTGCTCTCCTGCCGACTAGTTACTTGCTAATCTTGGTTTTTAATATATTCATTTGCCGTTTCC